GGGATGGGGGACAGAAAGGAATACTGTTTCCCAGAGCACCAGGCTCTATAGAAGAGAATAAATTCAAGGCCTAAATGCAGAAAACTAATGAATTAATTTTGCAATTAGTGAGGAAGAGGACATACAGAACAAGATTCAATTCTACAAATAGCATTTGCAAACTGGAATAACTGCTTAAAAAATAAAGTAAAATAAAAAATGTGTAGGAAAGAATATCTAATATTCTAATGTCCTAGTTACATTTAAAGAAAATTCCCTAGGAAAATTGCTATGGAATTAGTGCTTCAAGCCTTATTAGGCCACACAGGTCAACTTATGTCAGTTCTGAAACCATATCATAATTTTTCTTGTACGTAGTCTCAATCAGATGAAAGAAAAAGAGCAGCAAATGTGCCTCTTGGCTGAAGTTCTCCATTTATTTTGCACTTACACTTTATGTAGAGAAATGCTAATGCTTAGGAAACAGTCACTTCCCTCAGAGACTTCAGACCTCATAAAATTCACATATGGTTTCTGCTGACAGCAAATTAATATAAATTTAAATCTCATGAATATTGCATATTTTATAGAACTACTGTTTTAAAAAGTATATCCATTTGGTAAATGGCTTTTAAATAAGATTATGACCCTAATTAGATCTTTCTAAAATATGTTATATTCTGTTGTAAATGGTATGCTATAAAACCACTTGGAGTCTGTTTTAACACAAGGGTAGAAAATTGAAAATTAAGCTTTAAGTTCCAACTCGATATAAAAATATGTATTGTGCTGATTGTAATAATACAATAAATTCAAAGGCACAAATAAGTGACCATATGTTATACTTAACAGTTAGCAAGCTATGAGACTGACAAAATTCTAGTTTCCAAATCAATAACCACACACCCAACATTTTATGCTATTTAGCATTCTGAATAAAACTTAAATTTAGAAACTTCTCTAGAGCAAAAAGAATCATAATGGTGTGATTAAACATTTGGAGTGACAATATAGAGAAAATAGGTATGAACTTTCCAGAGAGCTATCTCACTTTCCCAAATCCCCCCACCTACTTGGTGGAAATGCCCATCGCCTCTTTTTTCGCTCTGGCTGTAACCATGCCAGCCGCTTCTGTCCCTCTCAAAGGCAAGCTCTTCTCTGGTGCTCTGGGTCCCACCCTTCTTTTAAGGAATTCTCTCCGGCAAGGATTCCCTTTCTCCCCTATGTCACCAATACTTATCTGTGTACCTGATCATTCCCACTAATGTAAGAAACAAGCTAATATCCTTCTTAAAACACAACAACTTGAACTTCCTAGACTTCAGGCTCTACACCATTTGTTGCATAATATTTATGCTACACTTCACTTAAATATTCTAAAAAAACAATCGCTTCTCCTATCTTCACTTGTACACATTTTCCTTCTCCCTACTTACTCCAATGAAATATTTAACCATAGCCCTCCACTGGAGTAGCCCTTACCAATATATTTATTTATCCAGCCATAAACAATAGTTAACTTATAATCATTTGTTGTGGGCTAAATTATGCACCCCCCAAAGTTATGTTTAGGTCTTAACCTCTAGTACCTTTGAATATGACCTTCTTTGGAAATAGCATCATTGTAGATGTAGTAAAATTAAGATTGAGTCATATTCGATTTGGGGGCATGGGTAATCTGGCATGTCTGTCTTTATAAGAACAGAAGACACATCCATTGCACAGGGAGAATGTCATGTGATGATGCGGGCAGAGATTAGTGATATCTCCACAAACCAAGAAACACCAATGATTGCTGCCAAAGAAGCTAAGGCAAAGGCATGGAACGGATGCCCTCCCAGATGCTTCGGAGGAAGCATGGTTCTGCCGACACATCGACTTCCCACTTCCAGCCTCCACAACTGTGGACAATAAATTCCCTTTGTTGTAAGCCACCCACCCTGTGACAATTGGTTACAGCAGTCATGGAAAACTAATATATCATCGCATTTAACCTCTCAGCAGCATTTGAATTGGTGAGCATTCTCTTTTTTTTGAAATTTTTTTCTTCTCCCACATTTGTAGCATTGCTCTCAGTTGATTTTCTTCATGCATACTACTTCCTGGTATTGTTATCTGGCTCTTTCACACATTCCAGATCTCTAAATGTGGAGGTGTCCTAAAGAGTTTTCACAGGACTTCAGTCTTTTTTACCTATACTCTCTGCCTAGTAAACTTTTGCAAGGTCATGACTTTCATACCATTCAGATGATGATAACTTTTTATTTAGATTTTTATTTTAGCCAGGACTTCTCCACTAGGTTCCAGATCAATATATGTAAATGACTAATCAACTTCTCCATTTGGATATCAAATAGGCATCACAAAATTAATATAGCCAAAACAGAACTATTTCATTATTGATTCCAGAAATAAACATTCTTCAAAAGTGTCCATGTCAAAGTGCCAACTCATCCACCTGCTTGTTTAAGCCAAAAACCTAAAAGTCATTCTAATTTCCTCTTTAATATTTCACATACAATTCATCAGTAAGTTTTGTCTGCTCTTGCTCCAAAACATAAACATGATGTCCTCCTGTATCTCAACTACTACCACAGTTTTCCATTTTCATCTCTTGCTGGTCATTTATAAGAGCTTCCTAACACTTCCTTGCCTGTGCTCTAAATCTCTTTCCCCCATCTCCCTCCCGGCACAGCAGCAGCGAGATCAATCTTTCTGAAGTGTAAAACAAGATTAGGTCATTTCTTTGCTAAAGATCATCCATCAACTTTCCATTATAATAATAAAAGAATAAATATACAAATTAAAGAATAAAATAAAATTTTCTTAAAACCCATATGATCTGGTTCCTGGTCCTCTCTGACTGCATCTGTCTTTATTATCCCCTTCAACAACTATATTCCTTCTCATCTCTTGAATATGCCTCTATTTCTTTTATCTCAGGAGATTTTAATATGTTGTTCCTTCTTGGAATATCTCTCTCTCTCTCTCTCTCTGAGATATTTATGTTTGGGGTGTATCTCCCTTCATATTTCATGGTTATCTTCTCCATTTCATTCAAGACCCAAAGATGTTACCTCCTCCAAGTGATTTTTCTGTATATAGCAGTTGAAAGCAACCAAGTACACTTTATTTGATTGCTCTCTATTCAATTTTCTAATTTGATGTTCTCTAAAGCATCTTTCCAGAGCTGAAATTAATTGTTCCACTTTTATTTTGATTACTTATTTTTGTCTTCTTTTCTAAAATATAAACTCTTTAAGGTCATAAAATCTGCAGTGCCCCAGTGCCCAAGTGACTACAACAGTTTCGGGTTTGAGCAGGTGCACAAGCAATATGTGTCAAGTGATTTAAAAATGGATGAAAGGTGGGCAAAAAAATGCACTAAGTGTGTCATTTAGGAGGCCATTATAGTAATTTATTTAAGACATAATGAGAATTTAAATCAACTAAATGATAACTTGAAATGGTGAAAAGTGAAGTGATTTGACTTATATTCAGTAGAATTTGATAGGAAGCATATACCATTGTGGTAAAAAAAACATGGACTTACATTGCTTAAGGCACTTCTTTGGTGGAGCTGATGTCTAACGTGAAGCATGTTTTCAACCCTATGGAAACTGATTTCTATCCTTATTATGGACAAAATTTGTTCTTGTCAAATTGTTTTTAAAAAATTAATTTTAACTTTTCAAATTGCAGTTGGTATACAATATTGAATTAGTTTCAGTTGTACAACATAGTGATCAGACATTTATGTAACTTATGAGGGGACCATCCTGATATTTCTAGTACCTACACCTCACAGCGTAGATAGTTTTTATAATATTGTTGACTATATTCCCTATGCTGAAGTTTACATTTCTGTGACTGGATTTCTTCAAAATATGCATGTTGCCAAAGAGAATAGATTTTTTTAGCCCTTATCCTGCTTGATCACTAATGATTGATTGCTGCTTCTTGAAAATCCTTATCATAGATTCCCATGACACCACACTTTTCTGCCTTCCTTTTAATCTTTCTACCTGCTCTTTCTAAAACTGAAAAGATTTCAAACTTTGCTATTGTGATTTGCAAAATCCTCCAGAATCCAGTCTCTGCCCATATTTCCAACTTCACATCTTTAAATCTCACTCAGCCCACTTCCTTCAAGACACTTTCCCTGATTTCAAGTCCAACTTCATTCTATACAATTATATAGCCAAACTACCTTTTTTTTATATAAAGTACATTGACAATTTTATATGTAAATTTTTCAAGGGACGTGAATGTCAGAAAAATTTCAACTTTTTATTGAAAAAACTCTGGTAAAATAAACTTCCTTATACACATATTTTTTTTTGCCATTGCTCTAAATTTTTTATCACATTACTATCATTACTTTTCTGGAAGTCACTTATTATAGTTTCAGCATGAAACTGTATTCTTGACTTGGAACATTTTAAGACTCACAGAAGACTGTTATCACTAATATCATATTAACAAAAGGTAAAAGTAAATAGTATTCCACATAGTAAATTGACATATTTGAAAGTAGCATATTTAAATAAAACAAGACCATGTCTCTCATTATGTGGTTTCTATTACATCTCCCAGGGAGGAACTACAGAGAAGATTCTAGGACTATTTGATAGAGGTAGAATGAACTTAGGTAGGTGGGGGCACAACTTGGGAAGAAGTGATGTTGTCACTTCAAGAAGCCTACTAGGAGGAGTCAGGTTGAAAGAAGCAGGAGTTTTAATGAGGGACTAGTACAGTCAGTCTGCCAAATATAGGTATTTTCTCTGCAATAGAAATACTGAATCCTTTATTTTCACCATTTGGTTACTTCTACAGATATAAATTGGAATAAAAATATACATACATTTCTATAATATATGAATAATAAAAAGCTATATTATGTCCTTCATGAATTACTTTTGGGGGAAGATATTAAAAGTTACATTATGAACTAATTACATATTATATACTAACTTGTGCCTTCAGTGTACATGTTTAGTTGTTGGATGAAATGTACTCACACTCACTTTCCCATTGCGATTGTCTTCTTCTCTCACTGCCAGAGCCTTCAGAAAATTATCTTGCAGGTCTTTAGAAGTGCTTGTTAATGTCCTGTAAAAAACATGTCTTCAGTTATAATATATTAAATAAAAAATACATTTAGAACACTCTCGGTCCATCAATAATAACACTAAGACCATATATATACACATTATACACAATTATTATAAATCTTACACAATTATACTAATCTACTAGCTTTCTCAGTTTAATTTCATGCAATTATAGTCTTTATTTACAAATGATTGGAATAACTTCTCTAAATAATATACCCATTTTAATACTCATGCAGATAGTTAATTTCATTTACATTCCCCTTTTATTCTTTTATTACACCACAAAAATTCAATATATTTATAATCACCACTACCCACAATAATTTTAAATTTACTATAATTTAAGTACAATTTATTTATCTTATGTAAGAAAATTAAAATACTATATACCTAAGGCAATTAATTACTGGAACAGAGTATTAAGTTTAGCTTTATGATTGGAGATAATCAAGGTAAAAAAAGGAACTAGGTTATCTCTGTCCCATAAAAGAAAGCATTAAGAATTCAAGAGAGAGACTTCTGGCCAAGATGGAGGTGTAGGTATATATATACTGTGCCTCCTCACACAACCAAAAGAAGGACAACAACAAATTTAAAAACAAAAAGCAACCAGAATTGCCAGTTGAAAATTGAACTGTATGGAAGTCCGACAACCAAGGAATTAAGGAAATATTCATCTAGAACAGTAGGAGGGGTGGAGATGGGCAGCCTGGGCAGAGAGGACTCACAGCAATGTGGCGGCTAGTGGAGCAGGTTGGTCCCACATTTGCATGAGGATAAACCAAGAGGAACAACTGGGGAGAAAGACAGACCATGCAACCCACAGTTCCAATGTGCAAGGAAATAAAGCCTCAAAATCTCTGAGTGAAAAAACCTGTGGGTGTTGTGTCAGTGGGAGAAACTTCCAGCCTCACAGGAGAGTTCATTGGAGAAACCCACAGGGTCCTAGAACATATACAAACCTACCACCTGGGAATCAGCACCAGAGGGCCCAATATGCTTGTGGGTAGCAGGGGAAGTGACTGAAAGCCTGCCAAGAACTGAGCAAGTAGCATTGTTTCCTCTTGGATCCCTCCCCCACCTACAGCTCTGCAGTGCGGTGATGTGGGTTGCTCCACCCTGGCAAATACCTAAGCCTCTGCCACTTACTAGTTAACGGGTTGCTCCTAGACAAAAAAAAAGTACCCCAAATGAAAGAACAGATAAAAACTCCAGAAAAAATACAAATATGACTAAGTGATGAAAGCCAGCCAACCTATCAGGTGTAGACAGAGTTCAATACACTAGTAATCAGGATGCTATTTTGAGTCGCAAAATAAAGAAAGAAGTGAAGGCTATACAAAGTGAAATAAAGCAAAATATACAGGGAACCAACATTGAAGGAAAGGAAATTGGGGCTCAAATCAATGATTTAGAGCAGAAGGAAGAAATAAACATTCTATCAGAACAGAATGAAGAAATAAGAATTCAAAAAATGAGGAGAGGCCTGCATCCAAGATTACTCTATCCAGCAAAGCTATCATTTAGAATGGAAGGGCAGATAAAGTGCTTCCCAGATAAGGTCAAGTTAAAGGAGTTCATCATCTCCAAGCCTTTATTTTATGAAATGTTGAAGGGATTTATCTAAGAAAAAGAAAATGATCAAAAATATGAACTGTAAAATGACAACAATGAAATTCAAGAGAGAAATGACTTTCTCTTGAAGTAAATTTTAAAGAAAATTTATAACAAAAATCTCAGTCAAGCAGCATTGAACCACATAATAAAGAGGGTCCAAGAATCTCATTTGAGATGAATCACGAGGGTCTTATGTGAGGAGATAAAAATGTCAAGTTTGTGTTTTAAAAAGAACTTTCAGTAGCTATGAGAAACATAGGTTGGAGGACAGCAGCACTGGAGGGCTTCATTAGGGGGCTAATACAAAGCTTTACGAAGAGGTGATGGAGACCCTGATTCAAAGCAGCTGTTGGTAAGGGTAGAAAGGGATAGGCATGAAAAATATTGAAGAGCTAAAATGGACCTGGTTATTTCTTTTTGTAAAGAATTAAAGATGGATGACTATCAGGTTTCATTAAATCAATATAGACATGTACATTATGGCACCTGCTAATGATTTTGTTGATCTAGAAATGCAACACTTTAAATTGGTCATAACTCGTCAGCTTTTGCTTTTCTAGCTTTATGTGATTTGGTTTGATATTAATAACCACTAATAATTTAAACATCTAAGTACACACTTAAAACATACTTATTAGTACCAGTGGAAAGAATCAGATATTTGAGAAATTTTTCAATTCATTATTCAGTACAAAAATGAGTCTTCCTTATTACAATATACCTATGCACTGCTCTTACATTAAATCTCTGAAATATAAAATCTATTTTGTCAGTTGCTTGCCTGGTTAAATATGTGTTGTTTATCCATTGCTCACAGGATAATCTTATCACTTGGTCAGTTTCTACCTAATTTCCTGCTTACAGTTACATTTAAAACAAGAATCAGTTAGAAATTCTCTGTGATGTTTGAACAGACACTTAGTTTTACAAGTTCATCAGTCAGGACTGGTTAGGTTACGGTGTAGTAATGAATGATTCAATTCTCAATGGTTTACAATTACAAAGGCTTATTTCTCAATAATGATGTTCATCAATAACAGGCTGACTATGGCTCTTCACCTTGGAGGAAGGAGCACAGAAGCTGATGCAACATCCTTTATCTAAAACATCTTTGATTATTGTGTAGAGGGAAAAGAGAACATGGCCACACCCTGGCTATTAGAGTTCTGCTTGTAAGAGAAACGTGTTATTTCCACTCACATTTAATTGTCCAAAGCCAGTGTCATAGCCAAGCCTGAAATTAATGAGATATGAAAGTATGATTTTGTCCAGAGAAGAGTAGCAAATAGTTGTAAACATTAGCCTATGTACCCCGTGCTTGAGACTAGTTAGCTAAGCAAACAAGAGCAATAAAGAAAACAGTTTTTTGATTGAAATTTAAAAGTACTGAAAAGTTGTTAAACAATGTGGTTCACTGCAATATAACCAAATTAAGACCTATGTGAAAACAAAGAGAATTAACAGTGGCCTCACAACACACCATTTCCCCACAGACCCATAAAACATCCTTAAAATTATGGTGGAGGGAATGAAACACACTTCAGTATGTGGTCTTCTGTGGCACTGGTAGACACCTGTTGTTTTTTGCCTCTCCAACATGCCTCCCCTTTGGTAAGAGAACCCTTATTTATTTAAAGAGGTTTTATTTATTTTTAGAGAGGGGGAAGGGAGGGAGAAAGAGAGGAGAAAAACATCAGTGTGTGGTTGCCTCTTGTGTACCCCCTACTGGGGACCTGGCCTGCAACCCAGGCATGTGTCCTAGACTGGGAATTGAACCTGTGACCTTTTGGGTTGCAGGCTGGCACTCAATCCACTGAGCCACACACACCAAGGCAAGAACCCTTATTTTTATTTGGGCAATGGTTCTTTCCACATTCTGTAACTTAGAACAGTCAATCAAGGTAATTGCTTAATCACAACTTTTACCCACCAAACCTCAGCCAATGAATATGCCTCAAGCTTGACCAATGTCACTGCACCTCCTGAGAATATACAGCATAGAGACACCCAGGATGACAAGCAGCTGGAGTTGTAGTGGCTGCCCTAAATTCCTGCTACATAGCCTAATTATTCAACTTTCTCTTCAAATCTATGGTAATCAGTGCTCCTCCAATATATCACCCTTTTGACTCGGTTCATTAAAATTGGCTTCTATTGCTCACAAACAAAATCTATGACTGATAACAGTGATTATCCAGTGAAGACACACAAGAGTTCCTAAAGTTTTCCATATTTTAAGTCAACTCCCCACTCCCCCCATCTCCCCAAATACTTCTTGTTTTATTGTAAATCTTTAGAATATTACAGATAAGTGAAGTCCAACTTAATCACCAACCACAATCCCAAAACACCAAAGGTAACCATCATTACCAGCTTTGCATGCATTCTTCAAGGTTATTTTCGACAGTTTACTTACATATTTGTGTGCCCATAAAATATATATAATATCATTTGGTTCTTCATTTTATTTCATAAATTGTAGCTTACTGTTTTATTGCATTGTTGTTATTGTTCCCAGGTATAGTTTATGAGAGAAAGATAAAAATTCAGACATGAAAATAGCCAAAAGAATAGATTTCTGGGCACCATTCACTAATAGAGAAGGAACCCCTAGTATTCTGCCAGGCCTGGCTCTCTTATTAATAATGGCTGAGGTTTTTAGGACCTATCTGGCCAAACAGAAAAACGGAGTAATAGCAGTAGAATTCTTGCTGCCTCTGGGCTATGGTAGACACTGTTTTTCTTTCTTCAGTGAATATGAAAGTCCCAGTTGCTACCTGGGCATGTAGATTTCTGAAATAAAGACTACTTTTCCTACTCTCTTTTGAAGCTATTTATGTCCGTATGACTAACTTTTCCAAACAGTATCCTTGTGAAAATTATGTACCACTTCTAGGCAGTGTACTTAAAGAGGAAGGGTACTTTTTTCCTATAGTTGGAAGGCAATGTAATGACTGTTGCTCCAATTGCCACTTTGATTTAAATGGAAGGCCACTGCCATGGAAAGACAAGAGAGAGGAGCAGGGTCGCCAACACCTCAGAGCCCCAGCCCAGCCTTGATTGACACCATATGCATTTCTAGAATACAGTACTGAAAAAAATACGTTTTGTTTCAGCCACTGTCATTTTGGGTTTTTCTATTATTTTTAACTAAACCTAATGTAAACAGGCACATTCACCCTATGAAATTTGCTCATTCTTCCAAAAAAAATGTTGTTGTGGAACTGGCTTGGTAATGAAAGTGCACTTTAACCTTATCTATAATACTATAAGAATTCTCCCAGGAGACTCTATTACTTCCGTAACTAAAGTAAGTTATTTTTAAAATAGTCATAAAGTTAAGTATTTTAAAGGGAAACATGAAATAATGGGACTAAA